CTGCATTATCTCTAGGGGGTTCTCATTGTACTCCTCTAGAGGAGTATTGGTATTTGGTAGGGATATGTTATTTTTGTTTTTCATGTTATTATTTTTTCTCTGTGATTTTGACATGTGAATTTCTTTTGTAGTTTCTGATTCTTGTGTGAGACTCAAGCCTTCAAGTTTAAGTCTGCTTCTTTTTGTAAACTTTATGTTCCTTTGTGGTTTATTTTTGGGGCATGAAAAGCTGGTTCACGTAAGCTTCTGGTTCTCTCTTTTGGTTTTATATTGGAGTGGTCAGATTGCTTTTGTCTTCAGGATTTCCCACAAAGGCCCAAATCAGATGAGGATCAGATGCTCTCAGGCTTTCTCTTAAGGTCGGGATTCCTCCAGGAAAGATTTTGGCCTCAGGAATTTGGGTGTTGGACTGGCCTGGGAGCAGGGCCCAGGAAACATGCTGGTCTAGGGCAGCTGGTGGCCGTGCCACCCAGAGATGCAAAGGGAGATGGGGGCGGGAAGAGACCCCAAGGGCTCCTAGGGACTGCACTGAGGAACTGAGTTGGTCTGGATGTAAAGGATCAGTAAACTGAAAAGACAGCCCTGGCGACCAGGAAAGAGGCTGGTGGGCCATGCAACCCTGGGAAGCAGAGGGAGGTGAGGGCAGGACCAGGCCCAGAGGGTTGGTCTGGATGCAAAGTATCAGGAAGCAGTGGTGGTTCCCCTGGTGTCTGAGGTGCCAAGACAAGGACCAGAACATCACCCAGGCTAGGATGAGAGACTGGCCAGGGAGATGGGAGGGTGAGTGAGGCTGGGGGAGTCAAGGCGCGGAGGGCATGATCGGCTTACCCAGGAGAGAGGCCAGTGGATGGTGCAGGCCCAGGGAAGCAGAGGGAGGTGAGGGCAGGACCAGGACCAGAGGACTCTTGGGGACCTTGAGAAGGAATTGGTTCTATCTGGTTGCAAGAGATTAGGAAACAGTGGTGGCCCCATACCAAGAGGTCAGCAGCCATGGTGTCCAAGAAAGAGGCTGGTGACCATGCAGCCCAGGGAAGCAGAGAGAGGTGAGGGTAGGACCAGGCCCAGAGGGTTCCAGGGAGAGAGGCTGGCGGGTTGTGCAGTCCAGGGAAGCAAAGGCTTTTATGTTTTATTTATTTTTATTTTATGTATATTAATGTTACGCTTTCATGTATATAAGTGCACCTATGTCATGCAGTACCCACAGATAAAATTTTTATTGTTTATTTTTTCATTTTTATTTAAATTTAATTTGTACATGTATGAGTGTTTTGCCTAGATTATTCTGTAATAATAAGCCCCCAAAACCCTG